GGTCAAAGGTCAAGTTCACGGGTCACGAGATGAAATACCTGGTATTTTACAAAAGCCTTAATGACAAGCAATATATGTGCAAAATATTAAATCCATACCACTAACAGTTCTCATGCTATAAGTTGTGACATACAGACGCTAGGTAAAGTGATTCCCTAAATGTCCTTTGCTCTGCAGACGACACAAAAAGGAGACAAGCTGTAGGAGTGAAAGATAAATAAGAAATTTTGAAAACAGAGGAGGATAGGAAGGGAAGATGTGTCAAAAATTTCTGTGAGATTTGAACCACCAATACCCGATTAACCGAAGACCGATTTATTGAAAGATATAAAGTTGAAGATTAAAAGAAGGACATTTATACAGGAAGATGAAATAAGACGAGTAAATCAAAGACCTTAGCCACTGAGAGCAGGCAATGGAACAAACGCTGAAATATATACAAGATCTGAAAATAAGAGACACAGTGACTGTAAAATTATTCAAGAAAGCGCAAGGGACTGCGACAGTTGACATGCTAGGACCCTTCTACCATTGTTTTGCAAAGTGCAGGGTTATTTACTGAATAAGGAAAGAAATGGATAGAGAAATAAGAAAAGAGCAAGTAGGATTTAGGTTGTTTTTCTGGGTTCCTTGTATTCCTTGAAAAAGAGTGGTGATAAGGAAAAGAATGTCAAAGGGGAAAAGAGTGTTAAATTGTGACTTTAGATCATCATTTAAGACAGACTTTGCAGATGGCATTTTTCTTTAAAATCAAAGTTTCAAGATCAAAGTGATGAGACCAGTAAAATATCAACAGAATCAAAAAAAGAAACAAAACAAAACAAAACGAAGAGACTTAAGTTAAATGCAAAATTTTATTTAAATAAAAACTACTGATGAATTATTACACAGGAATAGAAATATCATAAGAGTAAGTACGCTGCACTGTTAAGGTGTACCATGAAGAAATCAACGGAATATGGAGTTGTACAAATCAATACGTGCTAAAACTTAATTTTTTTTAGTAAAGGGAAATTTGAAGATATATGACATAACGAGCAGTAATTATGCTCAAAAGTCCATTGAAACAATATGAATTGGGAGCAGAGCAAACAAAGACCTCTAAAAACATTATGTGAGATCAGGTGCCTTGGAGGAGTACATGTAATTATCCCTTGTATTCAATATCGCAAGGGCATAACCTATACATTGTTTCTGCATATTTTAATTTTTTGAATGTGCTGCTGTTTTGAATAGACTTCGCATTAGTTTATATTTAAGAAATAGTGCTCAAGTTGAAATATGTATGGTCTTTACCAAGTATTTATCAAGTAATGCTTTGAATTTCAAGAAAGCAGCAGCACTTTCCAAGAAAGAGGCATCACTTTTCAAGTTAGGGATCATTTCCTCTATCTATATAAAAAAAATCTTTCAAGATGAAGCAGGTGCATATCCTTTGCAAAAAGAAGATTTAACGAGGCATCTCGATGAAAAACATGCCAACCATGTACCCAAAAACACGGTAGAATTCATTCAATACCTTCTCTCCTTTAATATTAAAGCTTCCATCGGTATTAATGGTCTGTTAAACATTTTAATAATAAACTGCACTTTTCACTGTGAGAAAATTATTTGATCCACCTCTCATTGCAATATGATATATACCATGAAGATATCATTAGTATTGCGACCAGATATTTGTTTATAACTTGCTGTATGAGATTTGAAAATAATAAATGCAATGGTAACTTTTCATATAGTTTAATGCATAAGTTTATACAGTTTAAAATCGTAATTTATTTAATTTTATGGCATTGTGAGGAATGATTTTTTTTTTCGGGATGTCACAAAATAAATTTCCCGTATAAATTAGGCCCTGCCTTCTTTATTTAGTACTTAATAGTGCTGAATATAGTATGCAAACCAATCTACTAATTTATAGTGGACAAGGAAGTTACTTGAGACAAAGCAAAAGACATTGGAGAAAGTGGAACAACGAAGAAACAGGGAAAGGAGATCTAAAGTACAAGTACAGTTTTATACAAATTTGGTGAGACAATATTACTGTATGGATACAAACCATGCAAAAATACAAAATAGACGAAAAACATCTAGGCGCATTTCAAATGCAGTGCCTAGGAAAACATGTAAGGATCAGATAGCAACAATACTTTATAAACCAATCAAAAATAAACATTTGGAATGGATAAGATCGTAAAGACGTAGGGGGAAGAGAAAACTGCATAGGGCATAATGTAGGAAACAGACAACGATGATTGTACGTTAACTTTGGGAGGACAGTCAGAATGAAAATGTGCAAGAAAAAGACCAAGACCACACGGAGAAGACCAATCAAAAAAGAAATGCAGGCGGTTGCTCAAGATTTAATACCACCAAGAAGTGGCTAGTAATAGAAAAAATGGATCAAAATTGTAACCTTATGTGCTTTTTGGTGCGGAGAATTAATGCGCAAGAAAAGAGTACTATGGCATCTATTTTTGGGAGTTCATATTTTCTGGATTATGTGTTTACCCATTCACATTCTTACCCAATAATAATCTTTATTCAGCACCTTTCATAACAATACATATGATGCTATATTTTTAAATTTTTAGATGAAAAAAAAAAAAACCACCAATCATACGATTCTGAATAAAATAACTATTCAGATAACAAAGAAACTCTTCTTTTATGCTCTTTTACAGATAAGTTACTGCTTAAAGGAACTCCTGTGGCGAGCCTCAGTTCAACATACAGTGATTTTTATAACGCCAGTAACGCAATAGATAATCAAACAAGCAAACTTAAGCTTCTTGAAGGATCATGCTCTCGCACTTTTTTCAAAGAGGAGACTGCGTGGCTCAGAATAAAGCTTAATGATTCCTACAGCATAAAGTCTGTGAAACTGTTTTATAGAAATGACAGTTAGTATTGAATGTTATACACAAGACAAAATTGCAAAAGCACCACCAAAAAATATTTTACTTTCGAATATGTTTATGATCTATTTGATATATAGTTATGTTACATGAGTAAATAAAGAGGCATTTTAATGTCTTAATAAAAAACAATAATGTTAACTGAAGCGTAACTAATTCCTAGAAAAATTAAAACCGTGCCACTTCTTTTTTATGTTTTCTCTATGTTTGTATTATTTTAAATGAAATATATGGAAATAACGAACAGTGTTCTAGCTCAAAAGTCCATTAAACAATACAATCAGGAGAAGAGCAAACATGGACCTCTTAAACATCAGAGGTGGGATAGGTGCCATGGAGGAGTAAGCATCCCCTGCCGACCTGTTACACCCGCCGTATGCTCCTTGTCATGATCGGGAAATAACAGAAGAAAAACCGTCGACAATTCATAATTCAGTGTGTAAATAATGGCCTAACAATTAGCATGAAAAACGTCAGTCAGCATTTGACTTAATGATAGATTGTATTTGCTGACAAGGTCACTGTATCGACCGTAGAACTTACGAAATTAAACTCAGAAAAAGTTACAGAGTATTCAGCGTTAGACCCTTGAAGAGCATACAAAAGCAGTCAACTTGGTGTCTGCATCATGTGGTTCCTTTGGAGAAATTTGGGAAAAAAAAGTTTTTTTTATTCCTCGATATAGTGGAATTTTTGCATTTCGATTAACAAACATAAAAAAAAGTATTTACTTTATAACCACGGTATTAAGTTAGCACCAAACGACATTTTCAAGATTTTTCCACAAAATTGGAGCAACCGGAAGTAGGATTGACTGGGTTTGGACACCAAGCACTGGAGAACCACTAGGCGATATGATAGTCAATCGTTGTATACTATTTGATTTTTAACCGAGTGACTGCTTCTACTGCTAGTTAACAACAACTTCATTTCTTGGCAAAAAAAAGGCACAAAGCCATCCTGAAATTGGTTTTTGGCCTTTTAAGGGTCTTGTCATGACTTTTATTAACCACACTGTATTGGAAAAGATGGCTATTTATAAACTAGTACCCATTAGGCAAATGTTCAATTCACGAACAAGAATAACAAGTGGTGTCTTAGCAATTTTGTCTAGTGTAATTATTTTAAAGAATTAATCCAAAAATGACAGAGTTATTTCTTATCGATTTACAATAAAAGTACATTACATTTAAGGAGTCACTGACTAGTTTTTTGGGGCATGCCAGGACATCAACGATAGTTGGAACTTGAGAGAATTTGTATAACGGGCGAAACCCTTAAGGTTAAATTACCCCGTTCCAGCTGTCGTTGATGTCCCTGGTATGCCCGAAAAACTAGACAGTGGTTTCTCATATTTACATTTGTATTTGCATTTGAATTAATAGTGAAAATATGAATAAAAACGCTGTCTCATAAATTAAATATACACGAGGCATTACATGTTAATTTCCCTAGTCCCCTCCCACTGCCGTCAGACAGAAAGACAGCCGCGAGAGATTGACATGCATATTAGGCACTTGACCTTTCACTTGGTGAAATTTACATTCAGTTGTAATTATCAAGAAATCAGAATACAACGGAACATCAAAGAATTATCATAGAGAAACTATTGGAAATCTAAATACATATGTATTAAAGCTCATTCTCAGAACATCAAATATACACGTACCTTAATTTGTACTATAATCTTTACTCTTGAACATGCAAATATCACATTTAAAAACATTTATGTCAGGCCATTTATGAAATAATCTTTGTTTCCTCTCTCAAGACTCATTATCAAAAACATTGGGTAGGTAAGTAGGTCGAATTTTTTTTTTCCAAAGACATTATTAAATCAATGCTGAAATTTCAAAACCTGTTAAAACTGAATGTTTTAATACAATTAAATAGTTAATGACGGGATTAGAAAATTTCGGAATGAATAAAAAAACAATTATCCTGGAGGTCGGGCCATTTTTAGCCAGTCGTTTGGAAGAGGGCAAACAAATATTTATATATGATTTTTTTTTCAAGATGGTCTCAATTTATAACGCAATCATTTCAAAACGCTTTGATTATTGTTTGAATAATTTTTCATACATGTATATACCATACACTATTTCGATAGCTGACGTGTCTACCTTAAGTCTGCAAGGTTACTACATTAGGGTTACTAACACAAGCTCAAATGATTCCAATGCATGGAATGACAATCAAATTTGCTACCGAGATCCCAGCAATGAAACATTACCTGAAATTAACGAACATGATTGTCACAGAGTGGGGCAGTACGTCTGGATTGTCAACGAAAATGCCACGAAAGAGGATACTCCTTATGTTCACCTGGAAATATGTGAAGTTGAGATTGAGGGTAAGTCTGATCAGAAACATATATATACTTGTCAAAATTTCTAAGTCCCTACTTTTTTGGTTTTTAAAAAGCTTACGTCAATTTGTAAGTAGCTTAACATTTTGACTGCAATTTGCAATGTTTACCAGTCAAGGCCAAAAAAAATGTAATCGAATGTGTAATAACTCTACAGTGACCTTTTGTTTTGTTCAAATGTTTGCTTCCATTTGTTCTCTACCTTTCGTTGTTTACGAAAAACAAAAAAGAAATTGAATAAGATATGGCGAATGTCCGCACAAGAATGTGCAAGAAAAGTTGACATTGCCCAAGCTGGATGTAGTTCACGAGTGGTTCGTTTTCATTCATTATATTTGTGTATTTTTGCTTGCAAAAGACCAAGACCAAGTTAGCTTATTTGAATTCCTCACAATTATAAAGAGTCGCTAGATTTTTAAAAGAGACCGCAAAACCATCCTAGGGTTTTTCCGGAAATTAACTGGAACCGGAACGGAAGTGTATACCTTCTTCCATGGTCAAGACGAAGTGTTACGACACATCAACATGACTAATACATAAGAATTACTCATTGTTGTTTGAAGGAACCTAACTGCATCTGCAACTACACGGCACACTTTGAAAATTTATGGAAGTCTGTCTTTTCACTGACCAAACTTTACGGAACAAACTGAGGAGTGTGGAACGCATGAAAGGAGAAGTTATGCACTGAAGGCTTAATATTGTCGGCAAGGCACAAACACAATTTCGGTTAGCTTCCTTGTCATCCCCACATCAACCCTAGGAAGCATGTATGGGATGAAATACACCGGAGAGTGAGACAGGCTTTTCCAGCCGCAGAATCTAGCGGAACTAGAGGGAGACCTAGTCAATGGAATAATCCTCAATAAAGATTTTTTTTCTTTATGTGAACTTTTTGAGGAGTATTTTCGTTACCCAGGAACTCTCCCATACTATGACATTCTCACACGCGCGTTAATATATCCCCTCCAACTCCGTTGCCAGGGGATAATGATAAGGGAATTAAATTTGACTTTTATTTAGCTTAACTGAGTTCTATGTGTAAAAGTCCATTTTTGTTTCTTGTCTTTTACTGTGCATCACGTCTGTTAAGGTTCTGCAGTTTGTGATAAAGCTCTTCAATAAAATTTGATTGAGTAAAAGGAAATTGTTTTGGTTCTTTTATCCTATTTACTAATTAATTTATCTTGTCAAAATAATTTATTATAAAAACAGTGTTAAGCAAAGACTTGCCTGTGGAATGATGATTCATATTGCGATCGATTTTTTCTTTTTGCTAGGAGATGCCCGGCTTTGCGGTGTCCTTCTTTTTCCACTAAATTTCATTACAGGTTGTGAAGTAAATAAATTTGGTGAAAATTGTACCGATTGCGGTTCCTGTAATGTATGTGATATTGTTAAAGGATGTACACAATGTGGTAAAAACTTTAACGGATCAAGTTGTGAGGATTGTTTGCCAGGATATGGAGGAGAAAACTGTGGCAAGTAGAGAAAACAAGATGACATTTCTATACCATATTCTGGAATATAAGTTCTTTTCTAAAACCTCAAAAAATGTAAAGATAATTTTATAAAAGCTGTCAATTTTCAATAAAACACAAATACATGGCAAAAATGTTTCAAAGTGCATACCAATATTTTTTTTTAAAATTCAGATTTTTTTCCTTGAAAATAGTTAATAATTTTAGCTGGTTGACAAAGACAAAAGTAGAAATATATCATTTACTAACTTAAAAAAATTATTGATAAACTAAAAAAAAATTTAGTGCATGAAAAAGAAAAGAGGATAATATTTTAGAATTCTGAATTCTATAGAATTATATCACGATACATGATACACACGATACATGATACACGCATGATACATGATATACGCATGATACATGATATACACATGATACATCGTAATGAATTCCACATTGAAAAGAATTTGTAAATGAAACAATTTCTTCAATATTCAATTGGATTTGTTATTTTTTATTACATACTAATTTTTTTTCTTCAGATAAATGTTCCGAGGGGTTTTATGGTTACAATTGTTCTGAGAATTGCACTGGGAAGTGTACTGAAAACCAAACATGTTATCACGTGACCGGGGAGTGTAAATGCCTGGCAGGATTTATCGGGGAAAATTGCACGAAGAGTATGCTTTTAAAAATACGTTTACTTTTAATATGATTTCATCATGTAATTTTTTTTACATCATTTTATTTGTAACGAGAAATCGTAATATTGTTTAATTATTTTCTAATCAAAGTTGGTAATACTTGTCTGCAGTTGTCTATCATTTTAATTTCTGGAGTAGGGAAAAACCTTTGATTCGCTATGAATTCAAGAATCAGTAGAATTGGTTTTTTGTTTGTTTGTTTGTATGTTGTTTAACGTCCCTCTCGAGAATTTTTCACTCATATGGAGACGCCACCACTTGCTGGTGGAGAGCCGCAAATTTTGTCCTATACTCGGCACTTACGGCCATTGAGCAGTGAGGGATCTTTTTCGTGCCAGCACCTACTGCGACACGGGACCTCGGTTTATACGGTCTCATCTGAAGGACCGTTCTCCACGTCTCACAGTGGGATTCGAACCCGCGACGTAAGGATCAACTCCTTACCTCGCGACTCTAGAGCAGACGCTCTAACCACTGTGCCACGCGGACGACAGTAGAATTGGTAGCAACAATTAGAGTAAGCATTTATTCCACAAGTTTAGTTTTATTTCAAGCTTATTAACAACTTACTTTTTTATAAAGCGTTTGTCATTGCAAATAAAACAAAATGGTCAATCTAAAAGAAATGTCCATATAAAATCCACTGTAATTTTCAGGTTGTGCTAATAATACCTATGGTCAGGAATGTATGTACAATTGCAGTCAAAACTGTCTTGATGGTGATGCCTGTCACCATGTTAATGGATCCTGTACTAATGGATGCAATAATGGATGGAAGGGAAATCAGTGTAATGAATGTATGTAAAAAAAGATGAATAAAGTAATTACTGTAAAATCACTTAATTTCGTGAGGTAAATTTTTCGAGGTTTGACGAAAAAATAATGAGTCGGGGAAATTTGATTTTGTGGTTTTGGATTGTGTTGAGTAGTTATGAATAGGAAATTTATCATTTCGTGGTGGACACGAATTCGTGGATCTCTCAAATACCTCGAAAATAATGAAAATTACCACTAACAAAATAAGTGATTTCACAGTTGATGTAGCCAACATTAATTTGAAAGAAAATATTATACATGAAATCGTTCCACATTATCTATTGATGTTTCGAAGTCAGACGCAGAAATATTAATTTTGACGACTGACATTATACATATATAAAACATAAATAAAATGTTAATTTATGATTATGCTACTGAAAAAAAGAGAACGCTTTAGATATTTTTACTGTAAAATATAACGCTTTCATACAAGACTCATTGTCCGCAAATATACTTAGTGTACGATGTATGTTGTTTTTACGCCCCATTCGAAAATTTTTCACTCATATAGAGACGTCACCATATACCGGTGAAGGGCTTCATACTTTGACCTTTACTCAGCACTCAGAGCCATTGAGCAGTGAGGGATCTTTATCGTGCGAACGCCTACTGTGACACGGGGCCTCGGTTTTTAAGGTCTCATCCGAAGGACCCGCAACTTTCACTTCAAAGTGCCGAGCGCATAGCGAAGGAACAGTTGCTACCCATTTTTTATCGACTTAGGTCAGTTGCGGCCGAGATTCGAACTCACGACCTCCTGATCACGTAGAGAGTAGTTACATGTAGTGTATATCCTGGTGTAGTTTATAAAACTTCATGATATCCACGCACTTTTATTAAATAGCGATTACATGTTATTATTTGATACAAACGTGGAACATGAACCTTCTGATAGAAAATAAAAATAGGCTTGTATAGAAATATAGACTCAATTGTAATTATTTCATTTTCTTTATTTTTAATACAATATTTATAAACTGCCAGATTTAACTTTAGTTCAATCGCCTCTCAACAGCCAGCGATTAATAATTTCTTCAATGAACAATATGTTAATATTTATCAGTTTTAGAGTAAGTGAAAAAAAATTCAAAGCAAGTAAAGTAATTTATACTTGATATGAATATTACTTATATATACAGTGTATTAAGCTAATTTTTTTTTTATTATAGGGGAGATGTGTATTGAAACAAATCGCTATCAAAGATTGTACTAAAATTGATAATAACTGATATTTCTGAAACGTTTTTCTTTTCTTTTTTTCTCGAACATAGCAACTTCTGATTTAGATCGGCCAGATAAGGGAAACTTTTTATCAAACGTACCTGCAGTGATTGGCGCCATTATCTCAGCATCTGTGTTGTTCATCATCATCGGTTTACTTTTACTCTTTTACAAAAGTAAAAGGTAGATATATTTAGTATTTAGAAGGAAAATTTTAAACAAGCTTCATCTTTGCAATATTTAGCAGAAAGGCAGGTGAGAACTTAACTTGACCTTTTTATACATGTACAACATAGGCAAACGCTTAAAAGACAATGTCAATTTAAAAAATATATATATATTTATTTTTATCGTATGTTCAAATAGATGCTTTAATTCATATATTGTGTTTTATTTACCTTATTTACCTGTTTAAGAAAAGGCTGCAAGTAAGCCTTTCTTACTGATATTTTTAAATTATCTGTCCACGTGTTGTTCGCCCGCTTGACTCTCCTGCGTTAAATTAGCAATTTGTTTTAACTTTGTCCTCAGTTATACTACGTCTGTTTCAACCAAATTGTGAACATTCATCATCAGATGAAAAAAAACAACATAAAGCTGAGGGAAGAAAATAGCAGATATGATAGTGAAGACTGTTTAGTTGTATGCTGTTTTATCTCCCACTCGAGATTTTTCACAAATATAGAGACGTCTAGATATACCGGTTAAAGGCTTTAATTTTAGACTAAAACTCGGCACTCAGGGCCATTGAGTAGTGAGGAATCTTTATCGTGCCAACGCTTACCGCGACACGGGACATCTGCTTTAATAGTGTGATCATAAATACCCGTCGATTTCAGTTCTAATCCCAGGAGCTTGGCGAAGGAACTGCATATGTTTTACGTCTTAGTTTTGACAAACGAGAGTCGAACCCAGGCCCCCGATCAGGAAGCAAATCCCCTACCACTAGGCTACCGTGACTGGTGATGGTAAAAAAAAATATTACATATAATAAATATTTATTGTCAAGAACGGTTAAGCCAGCTTAATATGAAAATTATACAGTAGAGCTCACATATCTGTTGGAATTCCAACTGGAACTACTTGTGCTCCTTTATTAGTCGACCTTTTTCTATATTCCTCTGAAGCCAAAATCTATTTTAATGCTTCTTCATGAGAAGCAGCCCTAAACTCATCATTTAGACATATTAACAACGTTTTATCATTCATATGTCAACCGTCATGGTAGCTCAGTCGTTAGAGCTCTGGCTTCGTGATCGGGAAATCGTAGGTTTAAACCCCGACCTAAGGCGATAAAAAATAGGTAGCAACTTTTCCTTTTCCAAGTGTTCGTCACTTTTAAGTGAAAGTTGCGGGTCTGTCGGATTAGAACTTTAAACCGAGGCCCCATGTCACGACATGCACAATTAAAATCCTTCATATCAGGCACGATAACGGGATGACTTCAGCTTTTCCAGTGTCAGCTTCATTTTCATATAGTAATGTTGTAATATCCCAGCATCACCTGTTTATGGTGCTTATGTCTCTCAGCTTGATTGAAACGCAAGACTATGATCTGAAATTATCAATTTTTAAATCGAAGAAAGCTATATACAAATATGTTGATGTTACAAAGATTTCAACAACCTCGTTTAAGGTCAGCTTATCTCAAGTACTACGGTTGTTTTAACAACATAATAAGTAAATACAACATATCGTTCGGTCGTATTTTGTCTGACATGATTCATACCATTTGTTAGGTCGTTGCTTTTATACTAAATTTGACTGAGGAGTATTCCGTCTACCTGAACAATAGATAGGGCTCACGGCGGGTGTTACCGATATACAGGAAAAGCTTACTCCTCCTAGCTACCTAATCCCACTTCTGTCATTTCCAGGGGTCCATGTTTTCCCATTTAACGTTTAGTCTTTTACTGGATTAATGAGATTGATCACTTTTTTGCTATCTTTGCCTTTAACATTCAGGATAACTCGATAAACCCATATGATAATATGCGAATGCAAAATGGGTTGCATTTTTATAATATTTCTAAAATCTTTAAATAAGGAAATCTACAGAAACACCCTATTCATAAAGACATACATGCATAGAAGACATTTATACAAGCGTCTCTTTGTAGTTTACATTCATTTTTGTTTATATTATTTGGCATAACAATATTATTGTGACTTCAAGAAAGGAGAGAAAGTTATTCATTTTTACATTTTTATATTCGTAAACTTCATATATGTACCAGAAATTAAAGCACGACAGGAAAAAATATGTGTAGTAAACATTTGCTTAGGATCACAAAAATTTGTCGGAATGGAATAGTCATCTGATTCTATCATAGGAGTATTTTTGTTCTAGAACCTCTTGTTTCGGTTGAAGCTTTACAAAATATGTTCTTTTACAGATTTCGACAAAAAGGTCCTGTTGAAGACATGAATCAAGATATCAATTACAGCACACTAGGTAAGTTTTCAAGTAATCACTCAATTGTGAGTATGACAAAAGAAAAGTAAGAAATATGGCCACATGAAGATGTAAAATGTCAGATATGTGCATTAATTGAAGATTCAAAGGTTATATCATATAAAGCAAAATTTATTCCATATCTTATACATGAGAAAAAGAAATCCCTTGCTGTGACTTTCACTCGACATTTAGATTTATCGACGACGTATTAACAATTAACAATGGTTATTTCAATACATATGTCTACACGATATATCCCAGAGAGCTTGAAATAAAAGATACCACATAGTCTGATACATCTGTTTCATATTTAAATATTTTACTAGAAAAAGACGTTAATGGTAATATAACAACAAATCTTTTTGTCAACTTCCTTTACTTATGCAGCAATATACTCTTATCACCTGCATATGGGGTGTATATCACTAAGTTGAATCGATACGCAAGAGCATGTTCATTTCTAAAACGAGGTAAGTTATTGATAAAATAGTTGATGAAACAAGAATGTCGACAGCGTCGTTTATAGTCATCATTTTGTAACTTCTATGGTCGATACAATGACCTTGTCAGCAAATACAATCTATCATATGCTTACTGACATTTTTCATACTAATTGTTAGGCCATTATTTACACACTGAATTGACGACGGAATTTTCCGTTGTTTACCGATCATGACAAGGAGCACACGGCAGGTTTTACCAGTCGGAGGGGAAGCTAACTCCTCCATGGCACCTGATCTCACGTCTGATGTTTTTGGAGGTCCGTGTTGCTCTACTCCCGATTTGTATTGTTTTAATGGACTTTGAGCTTGAATACTGTTCGTTATCTCCATATTTCACCATATAAATTATAAGATCTCAACCTATTAAACAGGTTTTGCAATAACTAAAATCCAGGAAAACATTAATAATAAGGAAAAAAACATAACAGCTAACTTTCCAATGAAAGTAAATGTTATCCATATTATTTCAGCTGCAAACCATTCACCTACTTCTTACGAAAATCTATCGAATACAGAGTCCTTTGAACGCAGTGATGAAATAATCAACAGTAATACATCAATAAGCTTTTCTGTAGCAGAAATCTCTAAAGTCGTCGCTCAAAAATCTAAAGATAATTACAATATATTTCAAAGTGAATACAAGGTAAGTTAAAGTACATTTCAAAATTAAATTAGAATTACTTAATATTTTGTGAAATTTCTTACAATATAATATTGCATGCTTTACAAGGCTATACCGTATGGGGAACAAATTGGTATTTCATGTACCATAGGAAAAGAAGAGCGACATCTAGAAAAGAACCGTTTCAAAAGCGTATATCCCTGTAAGACAATATGACATTAATCTTGAACCTCATATAAGAAATAATATAAATAAATGTGATTATTGATTTTACGATAAAAAATGAATCAATTTGGTCACATACTTTAAATGTTATTAAATCCCACTTAATAATAATTAATTATGTATTTTGTTAGATGATCACTCAAGGATCTCCTTAAGAGATACACAAGACGACTATATACATGCAAATTACATACAGGTAAATTCTACAACTATTTACTTGTGTTACAAGCTAGAGAATCAATTCGTGTGACTGCATGTTTCTAGAGATTTTTGAATGTTTAAAAAAATAATATTAAAAGATCATGATTGTTTATTTTTTAGAATGTAAACAATGAAAAAACCTACATTGCATCACAAGGTATATCGTAGAACCTTTTAGCAAATATTGTTTATTCCGTTTAATTTAATTTTTTTTCAAAATATGGATGAGTTCACATACCGGTATGTTATTTCAAAAGTTTAATTTGACAAAACACTTTTTAACTGCATATAACTTTCATTTAATTTATTAATTTATCTCTTAATTTATCTTTTTACCAGAAATCAAACAAAATCACCCCCCCCCCAAAAAAAAAAAAACAAACTTTTTTATTTCATAGAAAGGATATGATAAACTTATAATATATTACAATTACAACTAACGAGAGATAAATCTTTATTTAAGGACCTAAAAAGAACACTATTGATGACTTCTGGGCAATGGTTTATCAAGAAAACGTTTCAGTGATTGTCATGCTTACAAATCTTGTTGAAGGCAAAAAGGTAAAGAGAAATTGAATAATTCATTGAAAAATCTTCTTTTTTTCTTCATTGCCGCATAAATGCCTTTTCGAACGAGAAATGTACGACAAGCTGGCATTATGAAATTTTCAAGATATTAGTTTTGAGATTATTGAATCGTTTTAGAAAAAATGTGAGAAATACTGGCCAGAGCGCGGGATTGACGCTTTACATGGGCAGATCAGAGTTCACTTTGTCAACGAGAAACAATATGCCAATTACATCATCAGGAGCTTCAGAATTTACAAGTCACAGGTACATACAGGTTCTGCAAGAATAAAGCACTATATAATAAATAGAATTCAGATCAAGAAAAATGTGCAAAGAATGTATAATGTCATAACCTAAATGTCACGTCAAGAAAATAAAATTAGCATATCAGGCCTCATGATCATGGAATATCATAAGCTTAAGTCATAAAAAGTATATTGGCTGAAATAATTGAGAAATCATGCTTTCCAACATGAAAATGCTTTTTAATTTGCATCAATAAACTGCTGTTGCATGAAGATTAAGAGTTTCAGTTCACAAGAAATAAACATTTTGTGGACGATTGAAATTTTGACTAAAGTCTAAGTCAGTTTCATGATCCCGGGGCCAGGTTTTTGGCCATCACGTGACATTGTTTGGTAGAAAATTCTTTTCGAAAAAAGTTCTATCAAAACAATTAAAATTTGATTTATATCAAATTTCTCCAATTAAAAAACTGTTTCCTCTATGTTAGGTTTTCAAAACTCTCAGTATTACAATTTACTTTTTAAAGCAGTCTGATACATCCCGTAAGGTGACCCAGTTCCATTATACCCAGTGGCCAGATCACGGCGTCCCTGATCCTATTAGTCTGGTTCTCTTCCATAAACACGTGAGGAGGGCCCTAGAAAAAGCCAATATAAAATGGCCTCTACTGGTTCATTGTAGGTATGTTCTACTTTGTCTATGAAAAAAAAAAATTGATATTTATGTTACATTTTAGATAAAAATGAAAGCATTTTTAAGTTTTTGTCTGAAATTATATGTCAACTGTTACTTCGAACATTTTGCAGAAATCTGGTACAAAATACATCTATGCAGAATTGAAAATCTACTAAAAGTCTATTGACTGATCATATTCAGTCTGCTTTATAGAGAAGTGTATAAAATTAAATGTGAATAATGTTATTCATTTGTGTATGCATTCATTTTTCCATTGACAAGTCTTTACACCTGTATATCCTCTTTTTCCCAAAATTTAGGTTTATTGTAATCTTACCTTTACTGTATGTAAAATGAGACGTTTGAGGAATAAAATGAAGAACATTTTTGCTGTAGCGCTGGTATTGGTCGATCGGGAACCTTTATTGCACTGGATGCTCTCCATCAACAAGGCCTGAACACCGGTGTCATTAACGTTGCAGAATACGTCAGTAAAATGAGGGAGGATAGGATGAACATGGTTCAGAACGTTGTGTGTATTATCTCTACATCTTCTATAAGCTTTTTTTTTCTTTATAACAAGTACGAAATCGAAATTATTTTAAGCATTGTGCGATCTTTGTCTATCTGCTTCGACAACTGTTTCCGAGTTAACCCCCCCCCCCCCCCCACACACACACACACACACACTCTTTTTATGAACATGCGATAGATTTTAATCAGGCAACTTTTTTAGTCAAATGAAGAACCTTTCGATACAAAGAATCGCTTTGTCTTTTGGCCTTTCCTCTGTGTCTCTGAGAAGAGCCATGATTTAATCAGATCCTAGCAAAAAATACTGTAGTTTACTATTGTAAATCAAAGTTTTTAACTTTAGTAAATCAAAGTTTTTAACTTTAGTAAATCAAAGTTTTTAACTTTAGTAAATCAAAGTTTTTACTATGGATTTCAGACTGTTATATTTTATGTTCTCCTATTATACAAGCACATTTTCATATTAATTTGGAAATATTACTTGTACATGTATATTCACATATCATTTCCAAATTTTATCTCATTATTGTTGAATTTTAGAGATTTTAGGCATACATCTCAAAAAAGTCCTAAAGTTAAGTTTCATAGTAAATCAAAGTATTTACTATAGTAACTACAGTAAAGTTTTATTAAGGGAGTACCTTTAATTGCCTTTCTTTGAAAAATGTTTTAATATAATTATCTTTTGCAGGACCAGTACATTTGTCTTCACATTGCATTGTTGGAATCTTTCCAAGGATGCAGTGTTGTTATGAGTAAGGCGGTATTTGTGGCAAAAGTTCAAAATATTGACCAACAAAATGAAGAATCTTCATTCTGGATTACATCACAATTTAATGTAAGTAAATTCACCTACATGTAGCCATTCCTTCAAAATTATAGGTCTGGATTTTAGACCAAAAATGAACGTGCATTACTGATCGGTGAAATTAAAGTTATACTTTTATCAATATAAAAAAATAAATTAAAAAAATCTATTGATTTATAAATGACTCATCAATAGCATACTAGTATTTTGCTTCATAAGCAGTAACTGCCCTACAGAATAAGAAAAAAAAATGGATTTTTGAAATACGTTTATCGGATAAAGAAAAATATCAAGTAGAAAAATATATGGGCTACATCTTTCTTGATGACTTTACGAATTTTTAAGCAGATAATGTTCTATGTTTATCATGAACCTGACTTCCATTTCATGAAGTAAAACATTGAACAGTGCTGCCTTGGGTGCATGAATTTTGTTCAACTTATGCTTTAGGAACTGATTTCAATAAAAAAGAAAATTGATGAGGACGAGAACAAAGCTGGAATAGACAACGGAGAACTTCTTTTGAAACAAAATGTTTTGCCGAGTAAGCTTATGTACTTTCTATTTATTTGCTTTTTGTTGATTAATTTGTTTGTTTTGCTGTTTGCTTTAATTTTGGTATTTTTGTTTGTTTGTTTGTTTTGTTGTGCTTGCTATGACTGCCCTTGAGAATGTATCTAATATTATTTTTACAAGTCGACAAGTACAGGGCTGTCCAGACGCCATCAGAGGACGACACAGTGGATTATTATAATGCAACATTGTTATCGGTATCAAATATCATACACTTGTACTGTTCTCTGTCTCCCCGTGTCAAAATTGTCACTTTTGCATCATATCTCAAAATATATAATAACATATTATTTCAAAGTAGGTTCCATTAATGCATTGTTTTCCTCAAAAACCTTTCTTCTCTCTCCCTTTAGTGTCCCTAATGTATTTACACGGCTTCAAATTCAAAGTTTACAGAGATTTCACAAAACTATAAAATGGTCTCTACTTCATAAAGATGTGATGTAATAAAACCCTGAAATAAAAACTATCACCAATTGCTATGATCTAAGATGGGATGGAAGGGCTATATCAAATTTTTAATAACAATGTCAATAGATAAGCCACTATTCAATGACATAATGTATCATTACATAATTACTCTGTGTATTGCAGACTTTCTTGGAGAATAAGATGCTAATAGCCGCTCAATACCCCAAAACAAAACACCCTATCGATCTGATAAGACTTCTGGTTGAACATGGGTCCAGCATTTTGGTGTTTATAAATCCAATGACGGAAATACCTTTGGTAAGAGTTCGTATATACACCTTTAAACAGTTTAAATATTATAACTAATAATCGCTCCAAAAGTTGATTTTTTTCCACATTAAACAATCTTTACAGTGTGCAGAATTATTGACCCAGCAGAAAACAGATTTAGGTCCGTATACAGTTCAACAAGAGGAAACACTTAGAATTTCTGTAAATCTTCGGAGAAGTAAAATGAAAATTAGGAATAATGAGGTACATTAAAATACAATGCTTTTTCCAGCTTGCACAATAAAATACTATCTGCACGAATAATTTGATACGGGGTTTTAATGAAACGAATTTGACAAGGGTTGCGCGGCAATTTTTGCAATTTTAGCTCTTCTGAGGTGTTTTTAAGTTCAGTGTGAGTTGTTTTTATTTAGAGCGTCCGTATTTCTTTCCATCTGACCATTCTTCTGTAGTTTTTAATAATTTTCGACGTCTAACAACCCCCAATCCCCCGTGCTCAATTTTCATCAAAACTTTAGACAGAGAATCCTTAGGCAAGGGGATTTAAAACTGCTTAAATGAAGGGTCATGTGTTCTTACAAGGGAGAGATTAACAAGAAAAAGCATAGAAGAATGAGATCATTCAAAAACATTCTTAAAACTTACAGGGTCGTATTGTAACGTGTTCTCTTCTGATGTATGGTTCCTTCAGTTACTAAACTGAGACCGAGACTCAAAAAATAATACTTATACTTATGATTAAATAGCTCGCCTGCCAAAATATACAGATACGGCGAACGTATGTACAAAAATAATCGCCTGCAAAATGTACAAATAAGGCGATACGAGTTTCTCTCGTGTAAGATAAAAATGATTACCCTTAATTACTTAACTAACCAATCACTAATAAAATCACTATCAAAAATATTAACTAAGATTTACAAACCTATATACAAAATTATACGACTTAAAATGTTACTCAACAGATGAGTAAAACCTGTCTTCCAAGACGTTATGAAATGAATTCTCAACAAATGAGTAGTCAGCTACTCAGTACTTTTATTTATAAACACTAATTAAAATACACTATGTCCACCGAGGACTAGTCGAGCTGTCCCCACGAGAGTAAGGATACTTGATCCACGTTCTCTTATGGGAAACTGTCGGCTTACCTATAAACCTTTGTATCACAACCTTCCTCTTCCGAGGCCAAACTAACACTGAATGTGCTGACGCTAGCGGTATGACGCTTATATACTCTCAGAGCGGAAGCCAACGTAACTTGCCAACTAAAGGCGCCAAATTCAAACTTAGTAACATCATTTACATTACAGTATTATTGAAACTTACATAGTCCAGAAGATGTTGGTTTTCGTATAACATGTAATGATTATCTGAACAGCAAACTGAATGGATGGCAGTAAATGTGTATGAACTTCTGAGCTGGACTATACTCGACCTTCTCCCGTCCGATCTCAGAGCCCTATCTGACGTCATCAAATATATCAGAATGGATGTCAGTAAAGGAAGTGAACACACGCCGATAACAGTTCTGTCAAAGTAAGGCAAACTAAGTAAACACTTGTTTTTTAAGTCACTTATCCCCCAAACAAAATGCTTTCCTGCAATCATGCGTGACTGTATATGTGTGTCTATCATATTATTACGAGTTTAGACAGATTAGTAAGAAATATTTGCTTCAAATTAACAGAGATGGCGCAACCGGATGTGGAATTTTTTGTGCTGTGTATAACGCCATACAACAACTACAACAGGACAATGAAGTTGACATATTTACTATAGTCCGGCAGTTACAGAGACGTAAAGCGGAAATGATTTCATCTCTGGTATTTTTATTTTATTTTATTTTTTTTTTTCCACAATTATCAGTTTTATGTTATACTGTACATTATAAGAATTTAAAATTTTATCGAAGTATATTATATGCATATGTTCACTTGAAAGGTATTTATTACGCTTCCCGTTCTGCGTAGAACAAAGGAACGACAACTTTTGAAATGACGTTTCTGAGTTGCACATTATTTTCCGCCAAAGCTATCATCCTTTTTCTATTTTTTTTTACTTTTTATTTATTTATTTATTTATTTTTGTTAAATTATTTATTGTTAGGGTTTTATGATCAAACTGAGGTATAAAAAAATATATAAAAATGCAACATTTTTTCTAGATTTTGAGATATTTTGGATGCAATTAAATCCAGTGCTAAAAAGGCATCCTGTTTCATTGACCATTCTCATGAAAAAAAAATATGCTCTTTTTTTAACAGTTTACCTGAAAATTCATGTAAGTGTTCTGTTTAAATTTCAGTCTTTTAAAATTAAATCAAATTTCATGAATCAAAAATTATCCTTTGTAGAAGGAATACAGAGCATGCCATGAGGTTACTTTACTTTGCCTTCAAGATATTGAACTGGAACAACAACAAGATGATTACAATGCCACAGACAAGGATTATGTTAATATGTAGATTGTTCCTTTAGGATTTCTTTTTTTCCTCGAACTCATAGAATGTAACATGAATTGAAATTGAGAGTATATTTTTAATAAGTTTTTTCAAGCACACGTGAAAATAATTCAAAAATATTCATGGTGAGTGTAACTCAGACTACTCTTAAACATCGCACAAACTACTGTACATGTATATTTTATGTAACTAATTTAAACAAATTTTGACAAATATTAATACACTAATAATGCAAAGTTAAAATCGTTGCACAGCATTTATTACAAAATATTAATGTATTTGTATATCTTTCTCATATGTTTATAGTTTTTAAATGATTTTTTTTTTCACCCAAAATGGCTTTGTGCACATTTTTATATTTATATTTTGTACGTTTGTCATTGTAAGCACATTTTTTCAAAAACTGGTATTAGTCAGACTTGTTATTACATTGTATCTCTTGGTCCGTCTGTTTGTCCGTATATATAATGAAACAAAATTATATATACAGGGAAAAAATCTTTCAAAATGCTTCTTCTCTAGAAACGAAAAAAAACCCAGATAAATCATATAGACAGATAAAATCATTCCATCTTCTGATGATTCGAGTCAAGTCTTGACTTCTTTGAGCCAGAGTCACAAAATGGGGTGAAAATTTTCCTAGGTTTAAAGACGGGGTTGGGGGTTGGGGGGATTCTGTTGAAGAAGAAAAAGGCAGGTGACTCAGCTGTTGGTACCTGTAACCCAGGTAAGCGTTATGGCCATAAGTAACTTGTTTAATCATTCAATGTTTTATTTTATTTATGATTTTCTTACTGACTTTGAAATAAGAGAAATCTTTTATAACCCATACATTTAAAATAAAAAAAAGAATTTCAAAATAGCCTGTTTTTGACTGAAAGCGACAATTACAGTAACTGTGTTATACGATCTTTTCTTTTTATGATAATTCTCTCATGATAAATAAATGATCTTTCAATTATTTTTATGAAACAGATAATCATTTTGATATACATTGTGTTTAATTTTTATTTTAATTTGAAAGTTTGCTTTGTTTTACCGGGAAAGTATTTTTTAATGAAAAAGGTAAGAAAAAAAGTCCATGTAAATATCTTTCACTAATTAATCCTGCGTAAATGTACTGTAATTACCTATCATAGAATAATTAGCTTAATTACATTATTAACATGTATGTGAAAGGAAATTTATGAATAATCAATAAACCGTGATATTGTTGACACGGAACACGTCACGGTCTGTTGGTTTGACTGGTTCTCTCACAGTGAAAGGTTGACAAGTGTGAAGTAGCCGGGGGTCGAACACAAATAGTGTGTAAAAACAGGACTGTTAACACGTGTGTATTGGTCTGCGGATCAATCTATATTTTAAGGAATTTGCTTAATTTCCTTATTTCAAGTAAGTAAGAAACGTTCATATCATATATCAAAGAATTAATATTGTAAATGAATTCTATTCTTTTCCTTTTTTTATTGCATGTTCCTTTTTTTTTTTAATTTTATGCCATTTTTTGACGTATTGAAGGTATATTATCTTATATTTCTTTATGAAATATTATGCTAATTGAATTATCCATTTTAATAAATACTATATGGATGTATTGTTCCATATAGCTACTTAAATGTTTTTTATATATATATAATTATATATCGCATTTTACAGATAATTTTGTAACGTATAAAAAAAACAACTTGAAAACAACTTCCTCTTTGATAATATACATGTAATTAATTGGCTGAAAATCTCTTCTTCCATGTCCCTCTTTCCTAAAGTACTCATGGACTGTGTTATAAATGTGCATTGAATCACATGTGTGTCATGGTAGTTTTTGTACTTATTCAAAGTATATGGTAGGTTTTTTTTCAGATTTTTTTTCAGTATTTCTTCAGATATACCTACATGATCATGAATTTATTCTGTAAGAGATTTTCCCCACTAACAAGTCATGCACAGGTCATTGTAGGAATGGAAAATTAAATCCATTTGTCAGAGAACGTTTTATGCTGTTTCACGACAAGACATCCACAGATTACACTTAGATTACACATATGCGCTATAAATTTAACTGCATGTCTAGGATCATACTTCATAATGTACATTAATTGTGCGTCTGATACATTTTTATGTGTAAAAATTAAATGAAGAGAAACATATATAGAAGAAAAAAATGAAACAGAACTCAAGTGAATGCATTGAAAGTTTTTATTACCAAAACTTGTATTTCAACGTACACTACCTGGATGTACACGTTGGTAAATATAATTTTTGTTAAGTACCGTTAACAGGCGATGATGAAAGACTTTTGCCGGGGGGCGGATCATGTTATAATGTGTAATTTTTCATACTAAATCGGTTTTGTCAAAGCTAAGTACGCATCACATCGTCCATTTCTCGCATTCTATTAATTCACTCATTTCTCTTCTGTCAGAATTTGACAGTGTCGAAAGTCCGCTGTTGTTAATTCATAAGCTAAGATTTTTTCTCCACAAAAATCTTGTATATCTTGGCTAACAGTACAAAGAAAAAAAATATGACAGGCCATTAAAAACAAGTGCGCCTTATCAAGTCTTTCTGTACAACTATTATTTCATAATAATATGATTTCGGGTCACATGGGGTGGGGTGGGGAATGGCACAGACGGTAACCCCCCCCCCCTCTTTCACTCGATTTTCCGAATTAAAAAAATGATATATGTACTATAAAAATTGACTCACGCTATGTTCACATTCAATTTTTTTAGGCATCTTCCCAAAAAGATTACTTTTGACGATTTTCTTGGTTATTTGTTTACGATTCTATTGCATGTATAAACTTTACACCAGACGGATAACCTGATATCCTAGTTGCAAATATTCTAAATACGATTTTATATATATATATATATATATATATATATATATATATATATATATATATATATATATATATATATATATATACACTGTATATATATATATATATATATATATATATATATATTATATATATATATATATATATATATATATATATATATATATATATATATATATATAATAAGAATTTCAAGCCACTCCATATAAATGTTTCAAATAGTTATAAAAATTGTACAATATGTAAATATTCTCAACAAACTAATACCAGTTCACTAGTTAATGTGTTCTGAATCTAATATCTAATTATTATCATTTAAGTCTTATTATATTGATTTGATAGTACATGCAATTAATTCATAGTGTTGGATACATGTTTCGGCAATATATAAATGTACAGGTACATGTAGAATCCGGAAGTTAATCAAATATTAAGTTTGATGTGAACCATAATTTATAAGTCCATCGTAAGTATACGAATGATTATTTCCAACAATTTAAGACAATTTACAAGGAATTTGACACCACTCGATACTCCTCTGGATAGATCCACTGTCTCTGACTGTCATGTTATTTGTTGTAGCCTGTGACTGTCATCTATGGTACATACCTGTGTCGATCATCAGGTAACAGTGTGAAGGTGTTACATTCACGAGGAAGTACACAATGCAGACACTTATGACGAATGTACCTGTACGGAAATTCTTGTTAAGTTTCATTGTTACATGAATATAACCCCCCCCCCCACCCCCCACCCCATCCCATTCTCCTTTTCTCCCGTAGAAATCTGGATTCATCCTGTATTCTGTGAAGGCTTTTTCGCTTTATAATAGCATATCTCCTTGAAATAGTTTTTACTGTCCGATTCTCTCAAATAAATTTCTTTCAAGCTTAACATATTATTAACTGTTATAGGGTGTAAATAAAAGCATTGTTGATGTTTGTCGTCTTATATTCATACTAACAATAACGTTTCACTATTTGGTATGTTAGCTTTTTTCTTATGATATCTATATCTATATCTATATATATATATATATATATATATATATATATATATATATTCTTTTTTATAATTAATTCAAATTTCCTTACAAAACACGTCTTAACGAGAAATTGTAATAAAATTGACATCCCCTCCCCCCATATCAATAAATAAAGGAAGGCAAATAGTATTCAAACTTGTTAGTTTTAAGCTTGCTCACCAAGAAAAAAAGAAATAAACTAAATCTAAGAGTTATGCTGTTATTGTTCCTCTCTCTCTCTCTCTCTCTCTCTCTCTCTCTCTCTGTCTCTCTAGGTAAGGAATCGTTCATGTTATGCATTACTACGCTGACTAGACATCTCAGTCGTCCGTATAAGGTCCATTGCCCGCTTTTCTCATAAAATTTGGGCGATTTAGTCATTTCTGTCAATCGGAGGAAACCATATTTACCCATAAATAGTACCACAAACAAACATTTGTACACGACATTGATTTACTGTTTAGAATTTGTCATGTCTAAATGTGGCACCGTACATATATGAGTAAGTTAGCCTTTCAAATGAAAATAACTTATGAACTGTGAAAAAAAACCCTGTTTAACTATTAAGAGAAAGTGAGATAAGAAAAGGCTGAATGTCTTATAGATTATAGTAAACTTAAACTCAAAGTATCTTGATTTGAATATTTTTCGACATTTCCAAAGCATGTGATGACATTTGAGCCCCCCCCCCCCCCGTTTTCTCCGAGAGATGAAGAGAAGATTCAAGAAAAACAAAAAATTATCATACACATTTACATCGTCGCAAGCCACGGGTTTTGTGTCCATTCTATTTCCACAAACCGGGTTTGTGGAAATAGAATGGACACAAAACCCGTGGCTTGCGACGATGACACATTTACGGATATAGAGAAATGTACAATTGATTTCAGGCCTGTAGAACACAAGGGGGTGGGGGCGGGGGGGGGGGGCTTTTTTCTGAGTATAGTACATGTATTTTGCCAAAGTTAATTTTCATTTAGCTGGTTGGACCACCACTTTTTGTTGCTGTAAGGTCGAGCACTGGCAAATTAATTCCAGGATTTGGACAGTTATGATTATAATTTGCTTGTAGGATTGTTTGGGAGCCCCCCCCCCCCCCCCCAAAAAAAACAACAGCTTTTAAACCCGTTGCTAAGGGTCTGAATTTGACTCAATCTTATTCAAGGATTTCATTGTGATAGCCCAAATGCTCAGACAGGATTTCACTGCATGTAGATCTTTATGCATTGAACATATACTTTTACTTAATATGACGTTGAGTTAAAATCATGACACACAACTGGGTCATAAGGAAAAACTTATCGGTAGTAATGTTTGAAAAATAATAATAATCAATTGTTGGATAGTTGTTTGAAAAATAATAATAATCAATTGTTGGACAACTATCAATATCTAAATTCCCGGTTATATTGAGCTTTGAGATATGACTTCAAAGCTTGATAGCAACTGATAGCAAAACTGCACGTTTAACAAAAATTGAAAAAAAATATTGTGTTCTTATTGACTACAAAGGGTATTTATTCTATAAACAAGTTTTATTAATATAATTCCCATTTTCTTCTTCCTTTTTTTTTTGGGGTGGGGTGGGGGTGGGGTCCAGTTGTTTTACAGCATTCGCATAAATTGATTCGATGTTTTAGTTTGATTTTGCAGCATGAAATGTTCACAGCACCTCAATTAACTGTTTCTCTATTACTTTTAGATTATTTCCACACGTTATTAACAAGGATGTCGTAGGTGAATGGATCAAACTTGGCCAGGGAGGAAAGTGCTGAAGGGAAAGGAAACTGTCTGTTGAGCTGATCAAAATATCCTTAAATCATGAGTGTCTTAGGTAGGGTCCAAATGTGTCACGCTACAAAAATCTTTTGCTTGTTTTTTTTTTTTAATAAATACAAATGTTTATTTACATAACTCTTTTCTTATATGCATATTTTTGCATATTTTTGGGGATGTCTTTATTGCATTTAATCAATAAGTTAAATAATTAGCCAATATTGTGATCAATAAGTTGATTAATTAACCAATATTAAATACATTTTTAATTTTTTTTCCCCGTGTATCACAATATTTTGCGAAAATATTCCAAAACACTTTTATTTAATAATTTGCTAATTCCTAATTTTGCGATTATCAAGCGGTTAAGAAGAGTTATCTTTGCAATCTGTACGGTACACAATGATGAAAATTTTATTAGATTTTATTCGAATTCATTTCTGCGATTAAAAATGCAAGCAAATAAAGTGAAAATTGGATAATAGCGAAAATAATTCGTTATACAATAGTTAGTATAGCGCTTACGGAAAAAATAAAACAAAAGGACTGTATTTCAGAAGTTTTTTTACAATTGTCAATACATATACCGCCCCAGCAAAGGATAACAATACAATGCATTTAGCCAAGAGCAATTATTAATCAAATTCATGTCTACATGTATAAAATAATTTAAAGAGAGTCAAAACTACATTAAATGGAAGGTGCAGTTGTAGGGTTAAGCAAGAAATTGATATGAACAGTTACCAAAAGTTAGATATTTTAATTCCCTTAATCTTTCCATTAACTCTAAGCTAGTAAGAACCTGTGTTTTAAAGCCACCAGCATGAAAGATTTCTGAACCAGTGGGCTCTATTATCAAAGAAACATACATGTACCATGACTTACAGATTAATTAAATAATATTTTACGTACTTAAATCTACTTTATACAGACGTAAATATAAGCAAGAAAATGTCGTTCTTTGTTTTTTGATGTAGGATTTACGGTTGCAACCAGTAAAGAAGGGAGTTATAATTTTTCTCTGCAATTGCTGCAACTATTACTCTTTGCACTAACAAACAATAAAAAAAAGATATGTTTGTGAAATACTGATGCTCCCGTATGGCAGCTTCAGGCGAAAGTTAACTTAAAAAAAAAAAAAAAAACACTTACAAGAGATCAAAAATGCATGTTGTTACCAAAAGAAAGGACTTGTGTCAGTGGATATACCTGGGGTGCGTTCAACAGTGTAGCTGCTATGTAGCTACGTAAAGCTACGCTCTTGAACGGAGAGCGAGCCTAGCTGCTCGGTAGGGAGAGCTAGCATAAATATTTATGTAATACGATACATGTAGTACCAAATCCAAGATGGCCTCCTTAATTACAACTTGGCAATGCACACGATTTTAACAAAAAGGGACATTGTTTTTTTTACTTATTAATGAATTAAATGTAAATTTATGTATACATTTTCTTATATACATATACATATATATACATATATATGTGTATACATTATACATATCTTGAAATAAACTCTTTTTGTTCCAAAAATAAGTTTTTCATAATATATATTTATTCGAAATTTAACACTTTGCGGCTAGGTTAGGTGTCCGTTCAATAGAGATAGATATCTACCACCTAGCTGCTAGGTTATCCGCTACGATCTTGAACGCAGCCCAGGTAAATATGAAAGCCCAAGCACCAACCATTCAAAAATATGGTCAAGGTTAATGTTTTCTAAAAGTGGGTCAAACTCCAAGGTCAATGTCAAAGGTCAAAAATTAATGGTACACAGAGAAAGACCCTGTCAAAAGATATACGCATGCCAAATCTAAAAGCCTTAGCATCAACTGTTCAGAAGTTATGGCTAAAGTTAAAGTTTTTCAAAAGTAGGTCAAACTCCAAGGTCAAGGTCAAAGTTGTAAGTATCCTAATGAAGGTTTTGTCACAAGAAAAATACCTGTGAGATTTGAAAGCCCTAGTACTAATTGTTCAAAAGTTATGACCAAGGTTATACTTTTTTAAAAGTTGGCCAAACTCTAAGGCCAAGGTCAAATGGTCAAAAATATTTACACCCATGGAAAGGTCTAGTTACGGTGAATACACAGGTGAAAAATGAAAGCCTTAACACCAACTGTTCTAAAGATATGGCAAAGGTTAAAGTTGGGTAATTTTTTGCAAAATAGGGTCAAACTCCAAGAGCAAGGTCCATAGGTCAAATAAGTTGGTATCAAAAAGGAGGTCTTGTCACAAGAAATACACATGTGAAATATGAAAGCCATAGCTTCAACAATTCAAAAGTTATGGAAAAGGCTAAAGATTTTGAGGACAAACAGACAGACAGACGGACGGACAGGGCAAAAACTATATAACCCCGAATCTTTGATTACGGGGGCATGGCATAAAAAATCTTATTGTTTAGTTAAACACTATTTTATATGTGAGTGATAGTATATGTATATTGAAAATTTATCTTTAAGGCTAAGAGTAAACTTCTCTTCAATTAAGAATAAAAATTGTACATATTACACATACATGTATCCATGCCTTCACATTCCCCTAGTTCCATTATTCATCTCATTACATATTGTAACCATATAATTAATATACAAATACAAACTTTAAGTAGATTTTTTGAAACATGTTTTAACTTATCATGATTTTTAACGACTTTTTTTTTTTTTTAAAAAATGTGCACTGTCTTTCAGCAGAATGTCCACCATTATTAAGCCTGCCAAAAACTGAAACGGCTCATGAAACACCGAATGTCATACTCAACACACGTGATCGATATTTTGGAGCGGAAGTCACAATTTCCTGTCCAGGCGATTATCACGTAGTTGGAAAAAACGCTGCAAAATGCTTAGAGTCTGGAAGCTGGGATCTCGATAGACTACCGCACTGTTCTGGTGTGATCTCTATTTGATATGATTATTTAAAATGAAATAACAAAAAATTAAACAAAAATCTGTAAATACTGCAGATAAATTGTAGCTTTACAGACATTTTAAATATCTTTGTTTTTAAACTTGAAGCTAACTTTTATTTCATTTTATGATTTTGCAATCATATGCCTCAGCTATTTCTAAACATTCTGCTATTTGGGTTTATACTATTCCATTTGTTTTATTGGGGAAAACAGGTAGTTACATCATAACAACTGATTTTTTTTCAGATATAACTTATGGAGTACCTGATTCAACAAAGCTCTACATCGCTGTCTTTGCGAGCTGTGGTGTCCTTGTCATACTCTCCTTTGCCATCCTCATCGCAAGAATTCTCTGTGTTTTTCGACGGCCACTTGCACAAAGGTAGCGCTTTAGCAAGGTTTAGAACATGACTCATATTTACCGAATAATGTTCACTAATACACGATTATAACGACAACGTTTATAACGAATTCCCGCTTACAGCCAAGTGGTTTTTCCCCGTGGTTTTAAAACGCATTGTTAACAGATGTAGCGAATGACGTTTATAACAATAAAAATTGTCGGTCCCTGACGGTTCGCTATTACCGTTTTTTATTATACCAGTACCAATAAAGCTTTTTGCCTGACGGCACGTGCGTCAGGCAGTATAAGGATTAATTTTTCAAGGATCCGAAACTAAGCGATCATTCTTAATGAACTAGATTTTATGCAAGCTGATTTACATCGGAATTTGTTACCTGCATTTAAACAAATACAGTTTGCAGAAGAAAGAATCATATAACTGATGCAAAATAATGAAGTGTTAAATTCCTTCAGTTTTTTTGCTTGCACATGTTTATTCTTTGCGATTCTTTGTACAGACATGTCCGTCTAACATTTTTTCTGCGTTTCTAAACTACTGGATCAGTCCATTTGCCTTCTACGAAAGGGGTGACACAATCATTTCGCGCCAAATGTCACATGTAAATTATCTTCGCGCCTTTTTCTTGGGTTGTTCTATTGAATGGGTGTGATAACTTCTAAGGAAATAAATGAAGTTTATTCTTTTAACATGATTCTTAAGCTCCAGAGTTTTTATTGACGGTAAATTTTAAGTCATTTTTTAAGAGAACACATTGAATATGGACAGGCAACACTAAAGCAATGGATCTGCTGATTATTCTTACTATTTATCCATAAGTGGACTAGACTTATCATAAACAAACTCCCTCCACCTAGTGAATGGGATATCCCTTCTTGATTCAGTCTGTTTTCCACCTAGCCTTTCTTTCAATATTTTCAATACGTTACAAGGTTAGGTTTTTAAAAAAGCTTAGAAAGTCAGTGAGTAGCATATTACTTCATGCTTTGTGATGAACAAGGGTTTCCTTTTAATACAGTGACAAGAGTGTAGGTCAGTACCCGTAGAGGAATGGTCTTCACTCCTGTAAGGTTCTAAGTAAAGAATCGGTAAAATGAAGAAGACATCATGATCTCTACTGGTTTTCATTTCATAAAAGCACGTTATTATAAATATGAGAAAGGTCCTGAAATCGATTGAAAAGAAAAAACTAAACAATTTCAAAACTGTATATAAAGATGTATTTTTAAACTCATTTATAATACATGTATATGGTAAGAACATCATCGCCTGAGTTTTGTCCGGGGGAGGGGGGGGGGGTGTTATTAGTATCTTGTTTTGCGCTAGCTATATATAAAGTGTACAGGTCATGATTTCTAGGGCAGCATTGAAGCATTTTTGTCTCAAACACTTCAAGACAACTTTCCCAGTTAAAACTGTTCATAATTTACTTCGTACTGACCAGGTAGTGTGCATGAAGAAGCGCGCCCTCTAGTAAGAGAATACATGTAATATGAATTTCTTTTAAACGAATCATCTAACTATTTTTCCCAGAATTATCGGTGGCAGATCCAGGAATTTCATAACGGGAGGGCGCAGTAAAAGGCAGGGGATCTGGGGGCTGTATTGAAACCCCAGAGGGTCCAGGGCAAAGCCCTGATAGGGGTTCGGGGGCGAAGACCCCGGAAGCTGACGAATTCTTACAAATAAGAGGTTTTTTTCCCCTTGATTTTAGGAAAATGAACATATAAGTTCTACATACAAAAAATTCAAACGGGGGTTGGGAAGGGGGTTGGGGGGGGGGAGGGGGCGCACGCCCGGCGTGCCGGATCCGCCTTTGATTATAATCTACGCTAGCGCACTTGCAGTTTCATCCCAACGTAACTTGTCAGCCCGTGGGCTAACTAATAAATGACCAATAAGTGGCATGTCTTAGATATTCGTTAATCTGTAGTATTTGGTTATGACTCCACATTTATGAAAGTCAATTGTACATCTTGTGTAATGAAGTATCGCAACTATGTCGCTCCTTGATGACGGAAACGTTTAGCACCTCTCTTGAATATACGTTCCATAGGTATTGATTGATTAGTCAGGCAAGCTTTTTGAAAAGCTATTACTTGTACTCTTTTTACTTTTTCGCAGGAAACTAACCTAAATGGTAAGTTGAATGCCGATCCCGATCAGAATCAAGTACATTGAAATTTTCGGATTTTATTTGTTAAAACATAAATTAAAAAATCGAAGCGGGGGAGTGGAAGTTGGTGGTGTTTAAAATCGCAAAAGACGGATATGAACTTATAGGTCCAATAAACCTGTGAAATGACGAATTAGTTGTAACTGGATTATTGACCGTTAAGACGATGTAATTTGCTGCGTTTAGATGAACAACTTAGCACAAATAAGGATTTAATTTTTTCCCCTAAACTCTGGCGGGAAGAATAAAGGGTCCATTATTTTGCCTCTGCGTGGGTTCTGTTCTCATTCAAAACCACCGTTTATTCCCCGAACACGATTTTTTTTACTTATAAAATAATTTCAAGAAATGAATATTTCTTAAGATATCATCAGGCATGACTAAGTCATAGAATCTACTTAGTATTTAACTCGAATTGGCGTACGGTGCCATTGAAATGGTGAAATTTTTATTACGTGATATTAACTACTGGAATAGTTATAAGATTGTACGTCCATTTTCCTTAAAAATAGCGTAGATGTCATAGTTATTACAATCCATACTGTAAAGTTTATTTATTTAAGGTCAAAATACGTTTGATACATCCATTTTTACGACCCGTTAAGCTTTTCGACAGTTGTCTCCTATGAATTCTCAATATCACTATTAAATGGTGATTTTTACTGCGATAACCTAAGTTATGGACGTTTTATTACCTATGATCGACTGTTTTTAAGTCATTGAAACAGTAAAACGGTAATAATATATATATATATATATATATATATATATATATATATATATATATATATATATATATATATATATATATATATATATATATATATTGTTTAATTTTTTAGAAATTTCAAAACGTGACAAAAATCTTTTAACATTTCAGCTCTAGAGATGATCTAGGTAAGAGCACGGAATCTGTGGCCTCCATTAGATATTTCCCACAAGACGCACAGTATCAGGAAACCGTGATAGATATGCCTCAGAAGGACGGACGGTTCGAGAGTTTCTGTAATCCAGGCTATGTGAGCAACGAGGCGTATCCACAGACACGCTGGCATACTGAGCATGCGCATAATGGCTGGAGAGGCAGACAGTCAAGTTATGATAGTTCATTCGAAAATGAATCATCATTAGGTTATATGTAAGTGAAAATACTCAGAAAGCTGACATAAAGTTCTGTTTTAACGAAGAACTATTATAGCAACACACCTGTTAATACACTATCAGCATTTAGTATGATTCTTTATCTTAGAGTAGACGAACCGGATGATACGCAGCGGGCATGGAATTCCACCGGAAGCACAGATGTTTATGAAAACGACAGGTATTCTGTTATTTCAAAAGATACAATCAATGCACTCATTCAATCTTGTCGCAATGTACTTAACAGAAAAGGTTTTTTTCTTCTCTTTATTTAAGGACAAGTAATTCTAAGAAAATACTGAGACTTTTACTGTAGAAAATTTCTATATATAATTCATTTTTTTTAGAAATATAAATCAACCACATGCTCAAGTAAGAAATTTTTGTTTTCTTTTGCAGATACAACAGACTATCTCGTCAGTCCCGAATACAAGAAGTTATTGAAGATGATAGGACGCCATTTTAATTGTCTGCTGTAATTCAACACTGACAAAATCTGGCACTGTTTGACGTTTTTGCAAAATCTGCTTCCATTGGATACATGTATAGATTCTGTGCCCGGGTGGACATGGACTCTTAGTAGCAAAGCTTCTTTTTGATAGTGCCCTTTACAAAAAAACATTTTAATATTTTTTATGAAAAATTGATGTATGACAATTAAAATAGTCTTGTTACAGATTTTTCTGTGACAAGATAAAATATGTCAGAAAGGACACTAACTCTGTGCTGCATTATTTATTGTATTTCATATTGACCTGTGATATTCTTTATTATTGTTCTACTTTGATAATTAATGTGTAGATATCTCTATTACTATACATAAAATACAAATAAGTTGAGGTTGATATTCCTTACAATATTCCAAAAGTTGAGGTTGATTTTCCTTACAATATTCCAAAAGTTGAGGTTGATATTCCTTACAATATTCCAAAAGTGAATGCTACATACATGGAAGTCATGCCGTATTTTAAAAGAATGAATTTAAGGGGTGCCTATAGTACGTATACAATTATAATACGAAGTAGTGTATACAAGAACCGTAAACTGGTCCAGCCGAGGTTGAAATCATGTTACTTGTGTAACTTTTAAATTAATTACCGTCTTCCTTGGAAGACGGTATACAGAGTTGAAGTATTTTACAGTCTTCGGACTATGCACTTCCTCTCTTTTGTGATTGGTAGAAATTGCATGATGAGAAAATTTTCTATTATTTCATTGGTTGAAATGCTGTTCAAGACAAGGGAGATAATTTTCTGATGCTCTAATTTTCGTACGACTTAACAATTTTTCAAGATTTTCAATCGTAAAAAAATATGACAAAACGAACAGTGGAAATTGGCAGTAATTAACATGCTAGCTAGTTTTTAAATAGCAATTACCAAAAAAGAAAGTTTCCATATTTTCATTGTTAACAGAATTGATCTTTATTGCATGCAAGTTTAACAGCTTGTATGTATTCTTTTCCCCTTTGTTTTGCACTGTCTTTCTAATATCGGCAGAACTCGGCAACACCTCGGCTGATTCGCCTCATCTACATATCACAAAGGTGACGGAATCAGCCGAGGTTTGCCGAATGATCTCGGCAGCAGTGTTGAAGTTTACGGAGACAGTCGAGCATCTGTTAACTTTCACTTGGTAAGGTTTGTCAGAAAAAACTATGAAGAAATACAAAGCCAAGAAATTTTCAAGAATTATACGGCCAGATAGGTTTAGGTCAGTTTACTGTTTAAGGTTGTTGCTAAAGACGGTAAGCTTTTTGAAAAAGCTCTACTTGTTCATTTTAATAATTATATTAATTTTCTGCCATTAATGTAAGAAAAGAAGAAATCCTGTATTTTTTTTTTTTTAAATGGCATCAAATTGTTCAAACTGGGGGAAAAAGTCCGGCGGATTCATACATTTTTGATGCTTCATATTGTGAGATAGGCAACATAAGTTATCAAAAAATATATAGTCTCCATTTGTTGTTTTTTTTTTCAATTAAAAAGGGCGTTACAATCAAAAGGAAGTACAAGTAATTTGAAGCTGAACATTTTTAGTTACAGATGGTTTTCAAAACCCTGATCTAACTAGGTTTAGAAATCTTTTTTAATGCTTTAAATGTTTTAAAAAGAAATAACGGTGAAAAATTCAGCAAATTTGAAAATATAACTCCATGTGAGTAACATTTTCTAGTCGTAACTTCCGCATGAATGAGAATGTGAGCACTGAGGACTTATTAATGAGCACAGTTCCTTTTCAAATAATAACATGTACATGTGGACAAGATGTTTTTCGTGTACCAGTACACAGCTATATATATATCCGAACAACAATATATGTATCCGTTCCCTTTTTCCGGAAGCTGTCACCTCGATGTTTATTTCATTGTAAAGGAAGGGCAAGTTTTTATTTCATTTTACTGAATTGTTTATTTTTTAGGTATTCGTTTAATTTTTTCATTTAAATCTCTCTCTCTCTCTCTCTCTCTCTCTCTCTCTCTCTCTCTCTCTCTCTCTCCTTTTTCCCTTTAGATTTGCACGCTATCACGTAATTTCATTCCAGTGTTGAGATGATCAGTAAAGCAGTTCAAGATAAAATTCGAATTTTCTCTCTTGCGTATTTTCAATCAAATTTTATGTACGATTAAACATTAGTTATATAATAACAAACGAAAGAATTGACTAGACTAAATATGACTTTTGGGCACATATTTACACGTGTTTCACATTAAACAGCTAAATAAATGTGTAAAAAAAAATCATGAGACTCAGGTATAACTTTATTCAGTATATTGCCATACACACGGCTTAAGATATTGATTTAAAAAAAATGTTGAAAATGAGTGACAAGCCTTAGCGATCGCCCATTGCAAGGGGATGCTCCGCTTTTTCTATAAGTGTATACATGTAGCATGTGTGTCTCGTTTGGGGCTTTGCACGGGGTCAGTGTTTGGTCAGTTACCTTAAAGGCATTGAAGAAGGTTGATTTGTAAAGTTGCCAGAGACTATGAGAGAGACACTGAATCAGATGTAATTTAACAAGACAAAATTGAAGCTTTTTTTTCTTGTAACTTCTTTTATCTGACAGTCGTATACAGATTTTTTTTTATATTATGAATGTGTCTGAAACTGTGAATTCGGGATATTCATATTTGAATTCGTTAGACTACGTGTATGTATTCCTTTGCATTAAATGTCATCACCTTTTTACCCTTAGCCTGGGTATAATTATCTATATATCATCACCAATATTTTAATATTGCTATACAAAAATCTTTCATGATTTAGAAGGTCATTAAATACAATGAATGGAAATCTCTTCTATATTAGGCCTATGAAAATTTCAATTTTGTTTCTTCTAACTAAATAATTGAATTTTTATTAGTAAATTTATCTAATTAGCAATTAACTATTGTTTTAGTGTGGAAAGAATATTTACTCTGACATCAGAGAAAATGGAATTCAAGTCTAGCGACTCTGAGTACATTGAAATGACCAGACAAGGTCTCGATATTGAGATAGAAAGTGTCTATGACGTCATTCCAGCGGATGATCATGACGGAAAACATACACACGTTTCCAATGGTACGAAATTAAAAGGAGTCAACCGGGATTTTATTGTGTGAAAACTACAACAGAAAATTTTAAGTTTTTAATTCTATATCAAATGTAAGTTAAATTAACTTCAATATACATGCCAAGTTTAGGGAAAATCTATCGTCTGAGTTTTAGGGACCGTCTCAAAATACAGGTATATGTACATTTTCTATAGGATTAGACGGGGAAAGTGCTAGTTTTTCGCACTTCAAAGCATTTTACAAATACTACAATATACTTTTTGCCTAATTTATAATATATAATTAGTAATACTACATAAAACATTAAATGTAAGAAACACAAAAATTCTATTGTGATAAGGAATTTGTAGGCAATTTTAAAACTAAAGGTCAAAATATTCAAGACCGTTAGGCAAAAAAAAAAAAAAAAAAAAAAAAAAAAAAAAAATTGGGAGGGGCATAACACTCCCATCTCCCCGCCCCAATCCTCGTCTCTACGTTCCTTATACTTGATTCATTCGTATTTTGAAGACACTGACGTTTATCTTACACCTGCTTCGTGTCAACGCCTTTATGAACCATCAGCTATTACTCAAAATAAAGGGCAAGGAACAACGAATCACAGTGGAGGATCTAGGATTAAACTGTATCTTCTGATAGGGTGCGGTATGGCCCTCGTCTGTCTGTCGGTCGGTATAACGCTAGTAACAATTTATACAGGTAAAAAAAAAATACTAATACTTTATATGCAAAAGGTTTAACTTCAAAAATATTGATAATAAAAGTAAATGAAATATAAAAATTTGATATGACCTCGCATGTTTGACCTTGCATGTTTAATAACATTCAATATTTATTTATCTTTCAAAGTGAATGTAATGAAGGAAACAGATCCTGGTGATAACAATAAACCAGATCCAGATTTTGATATGGAGTTGGGTAAGTCAATTTTTTAGAATATTTAAATCCTGGTGTTTGCATACTATTTCAAAAATATTTCAATTTTTCAGTTACAAAAAATACTTCATCTTTCAGATAAAAAGCCTGCATCTAAAAAAAAAAAACAAATAAGAAGTAGGCCATTCAAACATTTAATCAAATAAGTATTTACTACTCAGACAGATTTCCAATCTTTATACTGATTGAGATTATCTATCAATAGTTGAACTACTATTTTATTGTATTCTTTTCATATTCAAGTTACAATTTCCATCAAGCTAAAGTAATATTCTATAATTCTTCGTGTATCATAACTTAACTCACACCTTTCTCATCAGTCTAGGGTAAAAATACCTGATTTGGGAGGATAGATTTAGGAATGATTTTGTGCCAGCCATGTTTGGACGTGAACATTAACCGAAATCAACCGAAATACTGTTTAATATGACACCTGCATATAACCTCAAAATTCGTGCTTTCCACTATAATATCATTTTCCTAATGAATGATGAATATATTATGCGATAAAGAAAGTTTCATGCAAATCCATTTCCAATTAGGAGAAAAATTGACGACGTTTTGTAACTGGAGTATTCGCAAATTTCTAGAAATATGTCAAAGTTGAACTGAATTATCTTGCTTGTTTGAAAACAATGCATATTGATTCACAAAAAATAATACTAAATGTTAATTAGGTTTCTTTATTAATATCAAACTCAAGGTAATAGCCCTGGTAAGCAAGGGGGGGGGGGGGGGAGTAAAAACACATCATCAAAAGCTCATGATAGTAGCTTTTGCTTAAGTAGAATTGATTTGCCTTAATAAAAATGCACACTTCTTTATTGATCACTGTATTCCAAATTCGCCGACATTCAAACATACCTAGAAATTTTATTCTTTTTATGCTTTTAGTATAGTTTCTTTATTTTCAAGGCTTTAAAATTATTTATGAGTTTAATAATAGTAATAATTATCGATGGTGATTGTACGCTATTTGTTAAGGTGCTCTCCAATTTTTTATGGATTTCAACCCGATACCTCGAAATTCGGCCGCTGTATGATCAAGATAGATTTACTGAGATGAAATCAGGACTAATTTTCGATGCAACATTTAACTCCAAAGAACAGCAATGATGGCCAAAAAAGCCATTAACTTTCATTTTCCGTCTAAACACACCAGATTAAACCTGAAATTTTCTACTACTTTTATTTTGCTTAATATGATAAAGTTTGGTTTTACTGCAAGTTGTGCCATGGTATTCTATGCTATATATT